CCCCGATCCCTGTGACTGTTGACACTTTTGAAACGCGGAGACGCGAGACGAGTCCAAAAGTGACGACAGTTCTGGGTTTCGCGACCACGACCCCCCCGATCCCTGTGACTGTTGACACTTTTGAAACGCGAAGACGAGACGAGTCCAAAAGTGACGACAGTTCTGCGTTTCCACGACACCCCCGATCCCTGTGACTGTTGACACTTTTGAGACGCGAAGACCCGGAGACGAGTCCAAAAGTGACGACAGTTCTGCGTTTCGCGACCACGACCCCCCCGATCCCTGTGACTCTTGACACTTTTGTAATACGAAACGTAAAAAGTGACGGCAGTTCTGCGTTTCGAGACGATTTTCGTCTCCGGCAAGTCTGGCGCAAGTCCGACACAAGTCCGACGCTCCGCGGACGATTGCGGACGATTGCGAAGGGTTGCGGACGATTGCGAACACAAACGCAACGACCTCGCGTCGCCTCCTGGACCCCTGGACCCCAACCTTAAAAACGGGAACCCTTCTGCTACGCATTCGGGAAAATCTTTTAAGGTTATGGACATGTGGAGCGTTAAGACTCTGTTTTCGCAGCAGAGCCGTACAGCTCCCAAGCGGCAGAAGATTGGTGACCAGGTCTACCTTACTAGTGCGCCGGACGAGGATGCCCCAGACCATGACCCACGCCGCTGCTGCCAACTCAAGCGTCTGCGGACGTGCGTGGCGGCGCTGGCCATTGCTGGATGCGAGGCTACACTCCCCGCCGACGCCTGCAGAGACGGTCTGGCGACCTGTGGTCAGTGCAGGATCCACTGAGTTTCTTACCAAGGATGAGGCTGAGTAGACAGCCAGCCTTGTGTTCACCATAGTGGTGTGCGCCAGCCGCTGGGCCAATCAGGGCGGCTTTGCCATCCCGCGACTCCGCAACTTCAGATCAGATTTCATGGTTGGAATTTCCTGCTTCCACCCTTCGGGAAACGGGGCAAGCCCATGCAGCTTGTTGAGGATGTTACTGTGTGGGCCATGGTCATTTCTCACATCGGCTCCCCAGCGGCCCTCCATTCAGAATAGACCAGCGTGGATCCGCCTTCGAAGTCCTTACTCGCTTCCTCGCTGGGTTCCCAACTTCTCCGCAAGCAGGTGCTATTTGCCAATTGGCAGATGCATTGGTGGCTCTTCACCTCTTCGCCTCGGTCACAAGCTGGTAAGAAAGGCAGCCGGAGGCCAAAACAGCGCGCGAGGCGTGTCACGCTGGCTGCATGTGCAGCCTTGATGTTTTCAGACATACCTGTTCTTCGAGCCATACTCGTGGAGGTGAGTCTAACCTCCCTTGTTGGAGCTGCGTCCGGCCTACTCGGCGGCATGGATGTAGATTTGCCATGCCCTCACTTTAGGGGTACAAGCGCTGGCTCGCCGACCATAAGCTGCCTTACAATGGACCCCTGAGCGTGAGCGCCCAAGTTTTGGGTCTCTCTTCCTCATCTGCCTTCCAGGCTGGCGTGGCCAACCAGCGAGGGGAGGCCAACCACAAGGCGTTTCTTCCTTCGGTGGTTTCTTTCTGGGCGCTGTAGCGCTAGCTTGGAGGCCGCCAGTACCGGGTCAGCGCCCCGAGGTTTGGCAAGTGAACCAGCGGCGCACCTGGCCCTGCTGGCTGTCTTGCTTGTTCTCCTCTCATAGCCAGACGTCGCTTTAATCCACGCCCTGGTGGAAGCTCTCGCGTCTGGCCCGCGGGGCGCCCCGGCTCTGCTTGGCCAAGTGTGCGCTGGTGAGTGCGACGACTTCATTCATGAAGCTGGTTCGGGACGAGGCAAATGCCGGTGTACTCCAGCCTCGTCAGCTTCATTGTTGCCATGAGATGGCTTCCGCCTGCTGAGGCGATTGGTGGGCAGCGCGGCAGAGCGCGGCGTGCAGCGTCGCCAGCAAACTTCAGTTTTGCACCGCCTTGCAGCCGTGCTCCCATCTTCAAGCCCTTGCCGGCGTCTCGTGGCAGGCGTTGGCTGCAACACCAGCAAGTGGTTACGTGTGGCGGATGCTTACCGCAAAATTCCCATCTTCCTCACCACACTTGGGCGTGTTCGGTGGTGTACTCCTACCAAGCGGTTACCAAGGCCAGACCTGGTGGTGCCGCTACCGCAGCATGCTGTTTGGCCTCCCCTTGCCCGTCTCAGCTTTTCAGAGGCTGCCCTTCTTCTTGCAAGCCTTTGTCCGGAGGTGCCTCTGCATCTTGTGCTCTTTCTATTTCGATGATGCCACTGCGCAAGGCATTGCCTTCGCCGCATCAAGCTCCCAGGTCATGCTTGAGGAATGCGTTGCGCTTCTCGGGTATGCGTTTGCTGAGGCCAAGCGCCAGACGCCGTCAGCCCAAAAGGGATTTTCTAGGCATCGACCACGACCTTCAAGATTGTCTATCTCATGGCCAAGTTCCTTCGTGGATCCGACCACGTCTCATCGACAAGATCGTTGATTTGATGGACACCGCCGACTCCTACAATACGTTGCCGCCCGGCTTAGCGAGCAAACTCGTTGGATGCCTGCCGTCGGGTGGTCTTCATCCTCCCCACGGCTGATGCCTCTGTGTGTGTGTGCTGCTTCTGACGCAGCTTTCGGCTGGAGCTCCTCATGATCCTTCAGGGTTTTCTGTGCTTGCCAGACACCTTCCGCTCCCGGTCTGGGATCTGGTGGGTGGATAATGTAGCCGCGCTTATGCCTCAGGACGCAAGTCCAGCTTGGACCACATGGCCCAGATGATACACCTCCTTTTGTTTCATCTGCGCGCCGAGAGCAGTCTAATTGGACCGATAGCATGTCCCGGTTGGGGATGCAGGACCCCTTTTTGGCGATCTCATGCGTTCTCTGTGGCACCTTCTACCGTGCTTACTGGCCTTTGGAAGCTTCCTATTCCAGTTCTCAGTATCGTCTTTTGCTTTCTTGAATGCGTTGGGAGCCCTAATCCGTTGGGAGATCCAGGTTCGGTGACGACCTGTGGTCCTGGGCAGGATGGGTCACAGGTGTGACCACCCCCCTGGACTTGGGGGGATTACCAACGTAAATGGAAAGCAGCCTCCATGCTGTATATATCAAGAGCTACATGACTGCGTTTGAGAGAGAATAAGGAGCAGACTAATTGGCAACAATCAAATGTGATTTGCTTTGTGTTTGGGCAGGCTAGGTGAGCAGATTTCATTTGTTACTGCAAGGTTTCCGCTCAAATCTAAGCCAAAACGGCAGGTGTCTCCTGTCTTCGCTTCTTTTTCTTTCCCACCCTTCCCATCCCCTTTCCTCATTCCAGTTTCTTCTCAGTTCGTCACGATTGGTGCTACGGCACTGTCTTCTCTTCGTTCTGCCGGGGTTCCTCCCCCCTTACCCGGGAAGTAAGCTCAGTTCTTGTCACCCCCCTGATGAGTTCTCAACGGCACGGGCACGGATGTGCTTCACCTATCCCGGCCTTTCCACATTGCAGGGTGGTGTGGCTACCGTGCATGCTGGAGGACTCCAGGGTAGCGCGGTAAGGAGATCCAGGTTCGGTGACGACGTGTGGTCCTGGGCAGGATGGGTCACAGGTGTGACCACCCCCCGGGACTTGGGGGGGTTACCAGCGTAAACGGAAAGCAGCCTCCATGCTACATATATCAAGAGCTACATGACTGCGTTTGAGAGAGAAAAAAGAGCAGACTAATTTGCAACAATCAAATGTGATTTGAGATATTCTGAGCCATCTTGCGGTTCCTCGAAGTTTTATTTCCACTTATAGCCTCGTTGGCCAGGGATACTTTTGGACGCCGAGGATCCTGACCTGCGCCCTTGCGCTTCAGGGCTGTACCACCGCCTTCAGCCTTTGCTTTAAGGCGACGTTGGTGCTTCATGTGATGCGTGCTGGTTTAAGCGTTGTATGAGGTGCGGTATCAGGGTTCCAGTTGGAGTCTTTCTGATAGCAAGGATAGTGCACTCATCTAAAGTGATAATGTCATTGTGTCCCGAGAACCATGACCTCTAGCCCAAACATACACCATGTATATTGAATTATTGAGTGGGCAGCTGCGCAGAGAGAATCCCACAATCAGCTCTATCTCTGCTGCTGCAGGCAATCATCGCAGATCTCCTGCAACCCAGCCAACGAGCTAAGGGCTTCGTGGTCCTGAACCATGTGGATGCCACCCATCAAAGCACTGCTATTCTAGTCTCCAGACGCTGACTGGGCTTCTTGTGGACCTTATCAGGTTCTGAGCCGCGGCTTGACGCTGTGTTTCGTAATCTGGATCCAAAAGACGCTTGGCCTGAAAGGTGCCAGGCAAACTTGTCTCTGGCATTGCGTCGCGTGCGCACCCTTCTGAGGATACAGTTCATGCACTTTGGGATGCTATGTCTGCTGGCGGGAATGATGGGCCTTCTGATCCTGGCGCTCTGCTATCTCCACCTGGAAGAGACTTTACCACATCAGGGCAAACTAGTCGACACATCGGTCACAGGCACCCCAGTACAGGAGCCGTAGAACAGGTGCAACTGGTGTTCCGAAAGAGTGCGCACGAAGACCCTGCAGGTCTCCTCAGCAGTAGCTTCAAGGAGCTGACCTCACCCTTTGAGCTGCTGCGTGGGTCGAAGTTTTTGCAGATTCGATTAATCCAAATGCTGCTATTGCAACTGGGCAATGGCTGGGAGTCCATCCTGGACTCCTTCATGATCTCCAGCTTAGGTGTGGGCCTCATGGAGAAGTCCTGTTGTAAATGAACTGCATGTATTTGCATGTAGCAGCCCAGGCTGGGGACCTGGAGACTGGGACCTCGTGAATGTGCCGATCAGCAGCTTCCGAGAGTTCTGGGGCATGGTGACAAGTGGTCTGATGGTCCACTGGGCAAAGGACCCCGCCAACAGCTTTTGGTATGTACAAGCAAACCTTGGCTTTGGCTCGGCCATGTCAGCTGGCAGCAAGCTTCTGGAGTCGGATAGAATTGCATATTCCGCGCATCTCTCGAAAAGCTGAGGCTGTTGATCCAGAACTTTGCTCCATTCGGCGCGATTTTTTTGCTGCTTCCAAGGTGCATAAATGCAATTCTGTGGCAGATGTTCATGGTTAGTTTAAAGAAATCGGTCGCTTTCTAGACCATCCTACTACATACCCTTTTTCTCCTCAGACATCGTTTCGTCAAGTTAATCGAAGGAGATGTCAGGGGACTAGGTTTGGCAGGTTCCTGTACCATCTCTTGCCTATACCGGTGGCCATTCTGCCATGAGTCATCATTCACCCGGTGCTGCATACCAAAATGTGCAGTGTTGTGGCCATGATGAGCCTCTGTGGCAAAGGCCAAGTCGAGTTCTGAACGGCGTCTTCTATAATGCGCAGACGCTTTGCAATGCTTTGTATTCGCTTCAAACGCAGAGTTCGGCTGCTCCACTTGTTGGCAATAGCAGCAATAGCAGTCGGTATTGTGCAAAGCTCTTAAACCATCTTAAACCTATGTATGATGATCTCATTCAGGAGCGCAGTGCAGGCCATTCTTCGGCACAACCGCCATGGCAAATTACACAAAACGTATCCTGGCAAAGCTGCACCGCAAAACAAATCCAATCGCAGTGCGCTGAAAGCTGCACTGTCGCCAAGCCACTATGGGCACTCTGTAAAGCAGGGGAAAGCACGGAAAGCAGCTCAAAGACATTCGACAAGCACGCATCATGATCGCTTGAGTCCAGCGAGTACGTCAATGCTCAGCTGCAGCCATTCTGCGTGAGAGCCTGAATAATTAGTCACCACTAGTACATCCTAAGTCACGGTTTAACACGTTAAAAATATGATACAGCATCATCCTTTAAGGAGTAGCTTCGTCATCAGTGCAGTGAAAGGCCGATTCAGCCCGTCTTCCTCATGGTGGACGTGTGGGCGCAGCCCAGAGCTGCCTTGTGATGACCTGAACACACAGTTTGCCGGATGTGAATGACCACTCCCACGAGCCTGTGAAAAGTACTTTTGACGCGGATGGCGGCATCGACTTAAGAGTGTGGAACGAAAATTACGTGCGCGTCTGCCGTTCTTCGCTTCAAATGAATGAACATTGCAGGGCATCCATCCTGAAGGATCTGAAGGCGTGTGTGTCAGCTTGGTTACTCCAGCCATCGATGCAATATTGTAGATGTTGGCCTGTGGCCTCAATCGGAACAGGCAGCATGCACGCACCTCCATCCAAGATGAGCCAGTCTTGCAACGCAGGACAATGTTCTGGACGGCCAGGTACCTGAGTCCGCAGCAGGCTCCCCCCCAAAAAAATCGGAAGCATGCTGCTGCTCGCGCATGTTGGGCCATCTTTGCAAGAAGTGTTGCCAGCCATTGCAGAAACACGGCACCTGTAGTATCTCCCGGCCTCATCAATTTAATTTGCTAAAGCTTCATTCCTGCCATGTGCAAGGAAATGGTTTCAATTCATCTGACAGCTGGGGAAATCATTCATGCAGCAAATGTTGGAGGCATCACGCATGCTCATGGGTCCTCTTGGATCTGTTGTTGACCACCGGGGGACCTTTCTGCCATCACAAGAGGCTGTCGGTCCATCTTCACTAGCCCAAGTCACATCACTGGGGCTTCGCCGGCCCTGCAACCGCAGAGGGTCGCATCTCGCATCCCCACGGACACATCTGCGCGCATGTCTTGGAGCTGCATGTGGCATTGTGGAATCATTGGGTCAAATATCCTGAGTATTCTTGAGTTGTAAGAACTTGCCAGGCTCAGATGGAGCTTCCAGCTGAGGGATGGCTTCTTTTCTAGTAGAGGTCGAAGCTTTGGCAACACGCCCTTGCATCAAGCCATATCTATGTTGGTGGACCTCTGGGGATTGAATCTGCCTTGCTCTGTACTGCCATCATTAAAATAGGATAGCGAGGCCAACAAGGCCCTCAGTGTCAAACTCAATCTTGCAGTAAAACGTCCTCCACAAAGGGTATGAGCTGTGAACCAGGCAATCCGGTTGTCAGCCTTAGTAAGAGCTGCTGCAATGCTGCTGCATTCTCTCCACCATGTTGTCACTGTCTCGTAACTCCAGCAGATAGTCAGAGATTTCTTCCCAAAATTTGGTCCGGAAGCAGTCAACAGGCAATGCTTGCAGTAAAAAAGCGATGACTTAGATGCAGTCAGGTCGCTGTTGCGGTAAAAGGCCGAACACTAGGGGCATGCAACCAGGAGGGAGTAGCCCCCGAAAGACCAACCATGCAGGCCGTATCTGCTGAGAGCCAGATAGATTCTGTGCTTCCAGCACCAGACAGTTGTGAAAGACGTTTTTGACCTTCGCATCCTTCATTTAGCGATCTTTTTTTTGTGCCATGTAACTGAATTACCAACTGCTTTTGAGCAGGCTCGGACTGCCTCCTTTGCGTGTCGGGCTTCGCTTTCTGCGCCAAATTGCTCTATGCAGGTGTCTTTTAGCCTTTTGTCCTGGAGATGGTGGAGCCGATGCAGCCTTCTTCAGCTCCCAGTTTCCTGCCCAGGCCAGCACGATTTCTTTCTCAAGCATCTTTCATCCAAGATTTCATAGGCGCAAGCTTCTGCAAATGGCTTGCTCACAGTGTGGGCCCTGGTCACATGAGGTCAGCTAGCTTCTAGCTTCAACCTGAACGGTATCGTTGCAGCTTGTTTCATCTTGTTTCCAAGGCGGTGGACAACATCGTTTCTGGTGTCGCACGTTGGCTCTTTGCGTGCCTCGGGATCGTGCGTGCAGCAATACAGATGCCAAGCGAGATGTCCCAGCCGCGTTTCATGCTAGAAGGCGCTTTCTGTTTGATCCATCTACAAGAGGGTGGCCGGCCACGCTACCACTTCTGGTGAGGACCGACCATGATGTCATCAGTGCTTGGCAGTTAGCCGTGACTAGCTGTTAGTCCAAGCAAGTTCCGCCAGGACGGTGTGTACCTTGCTTTCAAATGCGCTCTGCTTGTATGCATGGTGGAAGTATGGCCGGCCCGAGCAGAGGCCCAAAGTCCCGCGCTTGCAAAGGCCCTCTGCTACCCTTGATGTTTCAACCCTCCAGGAGGAAGGAGTCATGATGGAGGACACGAAGCAGGTCACGACAGAATCATTAGTCTGCAGCTTGAGGCCGCGCGATGTACACAGAAGAAGTGTAGCATCCCAGCTTAATGTGTGAGCATGCAGGCCTACGAAAATCGCGTTCCACTACCTCGTCCACAGGTCATGGCTTCCTTTGCAGCAGACAGCTCGGGCAACTAACATGGAGGGTCCGTGCCACAGCTTGGAGTTCTGCATCTACACCCAGCAGATCCAGGGCACCTCGATGACTCGAAGCTTCATGATGAGCAGCTGATAGAAATGCAGGGAAGAGCCCGATCCAGAAGAGCAGAACGTCTCATGTGAAAAAAGGGGCGGTTATCCTACTTGCCTGTTATTCGGTGCTGGGAACAGGCCTTCCTGACATTCCCCATGGATGTATGAGTGATGTATGTAATGGCCGTAGCCTAATTTGGATGCGTAGGGTTTTGATGACCACATCTAAGGTGCAGACCCGAGTGGTGCAGATTCGCGAGTTGCGGCCTTAGGTCATGCCGTGCTAGAGGTTCATTCCGCTTGCAGAGAGACGTGAGACCAGCGGGTTGAGGAACTATGGCTGAAGTTTCATGGCTTGCCATTTCAATCAATGTTGTGAGAGTTTTGATTTTGCATATGGATTTGCACGAGCTTGCATGTTTGCTGCTGTTGAATGCACTTGAATTCTGCTGTCCTTGACCTATGGGGCCATGCCATCATGTTAAAGCATTCGTGTCAGCAAGAATCCAGACTAACACGGGAAGAGGAAGATTGCAAACCAAGTTTGGCATGGATACATCGCACGGCGTCCAACAAAGCACGGTGTGCATGTTACGTATTGTTACATGATATAGGTACAAGAACAGCTTCCAGCCCTTTTCCAAGCAGGTTCTAAGCAAAATGCTTGCAAGGTGCAACGGAGCGTGAGGGCCTTATGCGCCGCTAGACCAACATGTGCCAAAGACCGAGCGAACATCAGCCAAACCCGTGTAGGTGCCGAGCACTGACCTATCTGCAGCCAGCCCATGCATCTGCAGAACCGGAGAGGCAAGCATTGGCGAGCTTGGCAACAGTAGCCTGGAGCGGATTACTTTTCTTGGAGGTATGCCTTGATGGTGTACGAGCTCTCGCAGCTTACTGCTGCAGCCTCAATTTCACCGTGCGAGCGCGGCGATCAGGAACGTTACCCGCTTGTCCTCAACTTGAATCTTCCTTCCCTGCGTTTCTGCTGAGGTCTTCATGCAATCGCTGCGCAACATCCAGCAACAGTTGGTGCGAACAACATGGATGTGCCCTCAGGACTAGAATCTCTATTGAAACGCAGGTGCGCTCCTTCGGCGAGGAAGCTGCTTGCAACAGTGGTATCGTGGTGTGCATACCTCAGATGTTGCTTCATTTGCCATTTGTTGTGGGACCTATCGACCCACAGGAAGTGTCCAGCTCGACGCCATGATGACCTTTCGCGCAAAACGCTTAGTTGATGAACCACACCCTGCGCGCGCTTGGTTAGAGAAAGAAGAATGGAAGCAGCCTTTGACATCCACTAATTATTGCTGTTTGCCGCTTTGAATGTCTTATTGAAGTGTTTGCCGCCTTCCATTTGTGAGTACCCTCCTCCCCACGACACTGGACAGTGGGCGTTGATATGACCTGCTCTGGGGTTGGTCTGACTTCTTACCCCCTTTTCGGGCATCTACGTGTACAATTCGCCAACTTTTTTGTGGTTCCCGTGCTCAAGAACTGTGGCAAGGAGGGAATGCAGGTTAGGCAGCGCCCGTCCTTTCTGTCACGTGCACGTTTGGTACCGTTGTCTCATTGTGTTGAGTACAGAAGCACAGAAGCTGCTGGCATTGATATGGCTCTTGATCCTCGCGAGAAAGCCTCTGAGGTCCAAAGTCGCAGGCTGCAGAGACAACGCTGCACCGGCCCTGTTCGGCTCTTTGCGTTCGAAAGCCTACTGTGAAAGCTCGGAGGTCGGCTCCAAAGCTCCCTGCTGTGCACCAGCCCTGTTTTTGAGTTTACACCCCGAAAGCGTAAGACGTAAGCTGCGATTGACGCCAGAGTATGTCCAAGCAGTTATGCTGACACACTTCAGAGTCATCAGTGCGTCAGCACTCGCAGCTATTGCAGCCAGGACCGTCCAGCACTGCCCCTTTCGCAGCTGCGAACCGTGGAGGGAGCGGAGGCATAAAGCGTGAGACAGTTGCGGAGAATTATGGCAGATCTTCAGTTTAGTGGTAGGCCATCGTGCGCAGTGCCTTGATGAGTGGCCGTCGTGGCCTCAAACTTGCAGTGATCTGAACTTCTATCCATTGATCTCTGAGGGATATCCTCGGCGCTGAATCTTTTCCATGAGCTGAAGGAGACGGATGCGGCTGCAGGCCTTTGCTGACATTTCCTAGCTTTGATCGTCTTCAGCGGATGAAGGCAATGTTTTCGAGGAGTTCCGAGTCACAGCGGGCAGGCGCGAAACCTGTGAACCATAAAGATGCTGCAGCCGAGGCTTAGACATGGACTAGCTATGCTGTTGTGATGCAAGAAAACTGGTTTCCATACGACCGGAGTCTGTTGGGAAAATGCAAGCATTTTTCTGATGGCCGGGAGGCTACATTGTGGAACAGACCTTATAAGCATAGCGCCTAGCAGTGAGTAAAGGTTGGAGTGAGCCGGGATCACCCGAATCCAAAATATGCCAGAAGCAGAAATGATTTAGTCTGTGGGCCCTTGGTAAAAGGCTTTCAGGTCTTTTCCTGCTGTCACTTGGAGTGACGGGGGAGGGAATACATGGAAAATCTCATTCCGCAGGCTGGCATATCAGCTGGTTTGCAACCAACAGCCTGGGCCTCGTTGGCTTTGAGAAGGTTTTCTACCAGTTTGATGTTGCAGCTGATGAAGCTGAGCTTTAGCACGCATGTATGGGGGCAAGAACCCGGCACCGGCTGAGGTGGGATTTTTGGGCTTAGGCATAGGCTTTTCAGCAGGCTCCCTTGCAAATTGCAGAGGCCGGTACAACTATGAACGCTATCGCGCCCCCGCCTCGGCTGGCGGGGCGCGGAGCACACGAATAGGTTGTGGCATGCAGTTGACACGTGGGGTTTAGGGTCGAGGGAGTCACGGAGGGAAGCCCCGCTTCAGACGTGTTTGTTGCACGCCTGTTCCAGCATTCATGGGGGCGGTTGGCGGGGGTGAGGGAGTTCGCAAGCTTTGAGCGCCGTAGAACCGGCCTCAAGAAACAGGGCTGCGTTCCAGGGTCGGAAGCTGTACGTCTCCAAGTGCAATTCGCCGCTACTCCCGACCCTGAATTTTTCCTGACCAGACATACCGGGGGAACATGAGGGGACGGAATGGGGGAGGGGGGGAGGGGGGAGAGGGGAGGGGGTAATTGCGGGCAACAAAACCGCATTGGCTGGTCGCCGCCCACCTTGGGAGGGGGGGGGGTGGGCTCAACAGGCAGAGCGGGGGCTTTTCGGGTTCGAAACGCCCTGAGGCTGGATAGCCTCGGCGAATTCCGCAAAGTTTTTCGCTCGAGTGCATAGCAGGCAGAAACTGCAAGTCTGCTCGGTGCGTCAGCCAAAATTCTGACATAAAAATGTCCAGGTTGGATTTCCTCTTCGTGGCAATGCACATGCTCCGCAACGTAGGCCATCTGCAGCTCTGGCAACTCCAAGCAGCCCGGGCTCTTGCCAGGAGAAAGCGTGAATCGCTTTTTCAAGGTGGCCGGCGAGTATTTCGAGTATTTGGAGTCCATTCAATTGAATGAATGAGTGTATCAGGGCATTGATGTGTTTGTTGGCGGCCATTTTGGGATCAAGAACTGGAGTTGCTTTCCTGGAGAGTTGCTGGCGCTCTCAAACTCTGAGGGAATCCAGGCAGGGGGTTGCGCTTTCCCTGCGCTCAATGTGGCAAAATCCGAAATGCTCCAGGAACAGTCGTGTCTGAGATGCTGTCCAGACGATTGTCCCGGGCTTATGTTCTCACTGTGCCGCTTCGTGTGCGTTGGCTATGGGGCCCAGGGCTGCAGCTGCCAAAACTCGGCACAGTATTGGCTTGGGACGGTTGCGCCAGATGGCACATCAGGTGCGGCTCAGACTATGCTGTAGCAGGGGCACATTCATTTCATGTAACCGTGCAGATGCCCTGAGATTCTGGAAGGAACAGGCTGGCATGTACAGACAGATGGCCCTTCCAGGGCACATGACATCCGCGCAAGATATTCTGAGCCATTCTTAGTATGGGGTTCGGATGGCACGACTCCGGATGACATGTGCACCATCACCTTGAGATGTTCTTGTTGTCCATCCAGTGTCGCCGAGGCCGCCTGCCTTCACGAACGCCCAGAATAGTATGTGCAGCAGCGGCTGCCACTGCCCTGCACAGTCCCGGTGCCCTGTCTGCAACTTGTTTTTGCGAAGTTGATGTGTGCGCAGCCTTGTTGAATCGACGAGGCCGTCGCCTCTGCGGTGCGTCTTGAGCTGCAATACACGGTGAGTTGCACGCCGTATTTGTGCTTGCACGGTGGTTTCGCAGCCTTGAGGCGGAAACTGCGAGTGCTACATGCCGGTGACTTCCGCAGCGGGCTCGGGCATGCCTGTGAGCGTCGGAAATGAATCGTGAAGGGCACCATCGGAAATTCCACATGGCCAAAGGTGAGCAAGAGTGTAGGCCTCATGCCATAGATGAACGCCCCACACGAGACAAGGAAATGGAGACCGAAAATGCAGCAGGTCGAGTGAGACACTTAAGAGACCTGAGTGCGAAAAGCGAGGAGCATCGGGTCAGGCACGCACAGCAGAGCCAAGTAGGACAAACTACAAAAACACAGAACGTGCTCAATGCTCTCAATGTTCGAACTCCTAAGTTAACAGAAATTTACGACTGCCACAATTTTTTGATAGGGTGTAGAGTTGTCAGGTTGTAGGAGTGAGGGTCGAGTTGGTCGATTTTTTGTATTTGAGTTGTCGGGCTACGACGGGCTTGGTTTCAGGATTCGACATTTCTTTGGGCG